TCTTAACTCAGAAAAATACCCAAAATAGCTCAAATTATTTTAAAATTCAGATCCTTAACCTTAGAGGAACTTAGGAACCATAGTTTGACCTCAATCTAAACCTTAATTTTCAAACTTTAATCAAAATGGACACGTTTTGACCTTTTAAGTAATTAAAATTAATTTAAAATTCCAAATTTATCAAACACTTGGAATACACCTTTTTAGCGTCATTTTTACTTTGGGGTGATTCTTAATCAGTTTGGAGCTGGTTTGCGATCAAACCATTAAACACTCCTTAATTAGTTAATTTTAATAATTCATTAAATTGCCCAAACTTGGGTAAATATTCAGTATCTTTGCATGATAGGAAACTGCGTCAAATCCTCAGAAAACTACCCACAAGCTTTATCTACTTGCATCCTACCTAAGGTTTAGTATTTATGCTCTACGGAAATTTGATGTTATTTCCCGTGAAACCCCTTACGCCTTTATGATTCCCCATAAGTGACCTTTTGGACCCCTTAGCGCGGCTCCCTAGTGCCACACTCAACTCGAAGAAGAGGGCATACCTTCGGGACTTTCCAAAATGTTCAGGATGTCAATAACAATTTGATGAATGTCCAAATATGCACTACCTAAGAATGATAAAAAGTAGATAAAAAAAACTAATATTTACTAAAATGGCATCCTAATCACTAATATTTAAAACTTTTATTAAAACTTTGATATTCTAGCCTTCAAATAAATCTTGAGCCTTAGGCAACTTGAACTAATCATCTACATAGGAAGCCCATCCAAAACCACACAAGCCTTACAACATACTAGAATTACTTTATAGGCACCATTTCTAGACTCTTATGTAAGCCGCGTTTTTTAATTTCCACTGTGAGTGTCTGGGTTTTTTTTTTGAGGTTTCACTACATGTTATAAAAAAATCTATTAGTGTATATGCTTACTTTTACTACACTAAAATGTGTGAAATTGATGTGATGTGCTATTTCAAATTTACGCCCTTAGCGTTAGGAACGATATATATAATATATATATATATATATATATATATATAATATATTATATATAGTTCTTGCAGGTGGCCATTGCTAATACAATGGACTAAATAAAAAGGGGGCAAATGTCATTGATTTCTAATTGATGTTTTTTGCAGGTAACTCTGAAAGGAATTGCTTTAAGCCCCCCTAAATAATCAAGGACCTAGAATCATTAATAATAACAATTTCCATATAGGTTTTACAGAGAAGCTGCTTAGTCCTCCAAATAATTAAAGGAGCTATGGCCAAAGTGTGGCATGTGACTGTGCATTTTTTACTTTCTAATATAACTGCTTGGGATTATTATAAATGCTGTGAGATTTTTTTTTATTAGGATAACCTTGTAGGTGAGTCTATATTTTGCTTATTCAATAATTGTAATTATATATAATTATCGGTTTGAGAGTTGTGAAATGCAACTTTGAGTTGGGATATTCTTATCCAACTTGAATTTCAAAAGAAGAAGGTATCCTCAAAAGGGAGAGTCTTCTTCTATTTGGAAGATAGCGTTTGGATGGCTTTTAGATATCTAAAGAGAAAAGGAAACCCCCCCCTTAGAGGGGGAAATTGTCTCTTCATTTGGATATTCAAGCCACGACGAATCAAGGAGTTCAAGGAGGAGAGATCTCAGGAGCCCAGAGAGGAGAGATCCAAGGAGTCCAAGGAGGAGAAGTCCAAGGAGAAGAAGTCCAAGAAGTCTGAAGACCTGAAGAACTAATATCCCCACCCAAAGTCATTTGCATCAGTCATAGGCTTAGAAATTCGGGTTGTTGGCGGGCAGGTTGTTGGCAGTGGTGCCCGGCCACTTTATTTTTCACAGACCCTGTGTTATAATTAAAGGGTAGTTGGCCTATGGACGTTTACTTTATTAGTTTGATTATATTGATGTATTTGATTTATATTGATTGCCTCTAGTGTTGCATATTTTTATATGTTTAATGGCAAACTGCATGTCGATTTTGTTTTAGCCTGCATTTCATTAGGCTCTTTAAGGACTATAAAACTTTTTCTACTCGCAATTAATATTTAAAAATTTTAAGATTTAAATAACATAGAAACTTAACGAATATAGGGAATTGTCGGAATCTTCCGAGGTCGCATGCATATTATTGCATTTCTTCTCCCCCTTGCTTTGAGACTCTTCCCCGCCTGCGGGTAGAATCCAGATAATCTGGCCTATGATGATGAGGTGCTGGACCTATGGAAATCTAGTCTCCTTCTAAAAATTATTTTTATATAAGCATGTTTTTAAAATCTAAAGCATACATGATTTAGACCTTCAACTAGCATGCATTGCATTAGAAATAAATTTAATTAAAATTTTAATTACATTAGCTAGGAGTATTCATCCAACATAAGTACAAGGTCAATTAAGAAACCCTATAGATGTCAGCCTTAACTTTCATAAACTATTCCACCCACCCATCTTTCATAAAATGACCTGACAGTATGGTTTTAAATTGATTAGGTGGTTAGCTGGCTCTCAAATCAAGGCCGGGGTAAGTCCAGGTATTACACTTCATTTGTTAAGACATGGGTATCAGTGTTGTTCGTAGAACATTAAATCCAATTTAGATTTTGGATTCAAGGCTACTACATTCGGTCTCGTAGTACGCCTAAATAGTGGGTTGGTCCTTTCCTTTCAGGGAATATAAATCCTGCTTATCTGTGTCACATGGATGATGTCACCTCCATATTTTCTCTCACGCATGTGTCGATTGCCTGACTTTTATTTCCTCTAGTTTCTTCTCACTACCTTAGTCCTTTTGAATGCTGGTATGAACCCCGCATGCTGACTAAGCCATTTAAGACCTTTCTTCCCCTTGAGTAGAACTTCTTAGTCTATACCCTTGTGCTAGTCTCATTTAGGATAGAATAATGTATGATTCTTAATTAAGAGTCTTCTCAAGCTCCGACCTGAGATGTAATTAACCACGGGGGCTTGCGCCCATAGGAAACTGAATTCTACCATCTACTAAATCCCATCCGAGCTGATGTATCGGGTGGGGGGAAACCCGTGACTGTGATCAGGCCGTACATATTATTACCCATCGAGGTGCGTAGGCGAGAGCCGCTATCCTTTATGGTTAATCGTATGTAGGGTCTAATATGCCATTCCATCGGCCCGTTTGCGTGGAGCGCGGAGGCCCGCGATCATCTCTATCCCTCGGGGTGGTTGCGGTCGTATACCCCTCTGCAATCCTATAGCCGTAGCGGTGTCCTTTCAGAGGTCCACAGTCCATGAAACTTTTGGCTTACATAGGATAATATCATATAAATAAAGGGGATGCGTCCCTGTCACCCAAGTGCTTGATACAATTATTAATACTAGTATTTGTGTAATTCACCTTAATTTTTGGATACTTGAATTCCAATTCTATAGAAGCCTGTTATTGACTTACCTCCATACCAAATATCAGAGCCCACATATCCATTCTTTGCTGCTCCTTAGAGTTAGAGTTACCTTCCAAAATCAAATGTTGTTGGATGAATTATTTCCATACCTATCATAATTGGAAACCTTATTTGAAGCTTTGTACACCATCTATGCTGAGAGGCCCGTTACTGATGAGTTAGGACTGAGCTTACCCCATTTTTTAGGAATATGAGTCCATGAAACATCTTCTTCTTCATTATCTTTAGCATTTAGCTTTTGCCCATTGAGATCTCCACCTATTGTACTTGTTACCTATCCTTCAACCTTGTGTTAGACTTCCTACTTACCCACAACATACAACGTGTTTGTCTTCATCATTTTTGAATCTATGTTGCTTTTCCAAACATGTTTATATTGTTTATTAGAAACAATATTATAAGGCCTGTAGTTGTTATCTTTATGCAATCCTTGCCAAATTGAGTTAAAAGGAGTATGAATATTTACCTCTCTTTTTGAAGGTGTGCCCTTCAATTCAGGTCCAACAATTGTATTTGCTAAATTTAAATTCCCTACTTGGGTTGCATAATTAGGACTTTTGTGTCACAAAAAGCCACACTTAAACATATGGTAGATATACCTTCATATTCCCCATTTTGGAAGAATTTACCATGAGTGCCTTCAACCCAAAATTCTGTTGGAAGCTTCTTTGTAAGATGATTCTTACACAGATTTTAGCACAAACACCTCTTCCCCAAGTGGTTGTATAATCATCTATCCATAAAGGATGTCCAATCATAATGCCTATGTGAGTTATGTTCTTTTTGTCCTAATAAAGAAGAGGGAGTCGGGGAAGACGAACCCAAAACCGGTACGGTTAGACCTCTTATGGAATTTGGAGAGAAGGCTGAAGACCATTTATCCATTGCAATTAATTGACCCATAATGAACCATGGTCCACCCATAATAATTGTGTCCCTTGCTTTAATCGATTTGAAAATATATTTAAAACAATATGTACTTAGCAAGATAACTTGAATCTCTCTTACATGAGCCCATTTATTTTTCAAATGATTATTCAAAGCCATGTAAGACACCCGACATCCAAAACCTTACCCATAAGAGCATTATTTAGGCATCTAATATTAAGATCTACATCTTTGATATTTAGTAAGACCGTTACTCCATCATTAGATATTGAAGAAATATATTCTACTTCATTAATATGAGTAACTATATGCTTTAGTCAAGCATTAGTAGAATTAAAACCCTGGTTGACCTGATATTTCTCAGTTTGTGACTTGAGAATCTCGGCCATTGAACATTTAGAACCCCCTGGTTGAACTTCAATAAATCAACACCATCTAGATATTTGGAAATGTTTGACAGATTAAGAGGTGGACTATTCAAACTAATTTTTTGAAATCCCAAAATATGATGAATGCTATCCGCCTTACATGCTGACATAGGTTCCATCAAATAAGAATCAAAATTGAGAACTCCTGATACTTGTTGTGGATTAATACCACCTGGACAATTTGAATTATTTGATGCACTATTTGCTTAGAACATAAGAAAAAAGAAAGATACAAAGACTAGCCACTCACACTTTCCTCCCTAAGTAAAGAGACAAAAGTGGGAGGGACATCATCACACCATACATTTTTCCAAACAAAATTCCCCTCAAGCGCTCTACTAGCACAAAAGTCGGCTGCCCTATTACAACATCTAGGCACCCTCTTAAAAAGCACTTGCGGAAAAAGAGACAAAAAAGAGAGGTCCGGCCCATCACGGCAGCGATGCATATTGTGGTGGGGATGGCGAAGCTGCTGAAACCACTCAATAATATTGGAGCAATCGCCCTCAATGATAATACCCGCACGGTCCATCATCCAATCCTCGAGGACATCCTTAATAGTGCAAGCCGCCAGGAGCTCAGCAGTGGCAACGTCCCAATGTTCAACCTGTTGGCCGGTAGCCACAATCAAGTTGCCACAGTGGTCACGGACCACAAGGCCCAATCCAGCAAGATTCGACGAGAGCAAGGAAGCATCAAAGTTGAACTTGAGCCAATTTGGAGGGGGGACGCACCATAAAAGGGGATCGGACAGCCGAAGCGGCTGATTGGTGTGCCATGGCTCCACAAAAGGCATCAAGTGAGTTTTAGGAATCGCTCCCAGGATCGTAGCAGCCACAACCGCCGGTGATCCCCAGCTACGGCCATGCTTTTTGTCATTCCGGGCACGCCATGCATGATAGACAGCCGAGCAATAAATTTTACCCAAACCAGGATTACACCCAGCCAGCTCCTCAAGGATCCGAAGCATGTCATCAAAAGAGGTAGCAGCCGGCATAGTATAGCCCCACCGATCCAACTGCATAAGAATGGACTTCAAAAATCTGCAAGATACAGTGCAGTGGTCCCGATTTTCATCCTCATTGCAGCCCCACGGACACCGACTGCAATCTTCCAGGTTCCTTCTCAAAAGCCAAACATTGGTGGGGATGGCATCACGAAGAAGTCTCCACCAAAACATGTTCTCCCTTGGATGAAGTTTAAATTTCCTAATCCACAAGAAGGCGTACGCCGTACCACCCAATCGAGCACGGTAAGCCAAAGAGGTCACCGTCCGACCCCCATGCAGGTTCATGAGCTCGGGCTGGTCACCCCCTCCCGAATCACAAATGGGAATGGCCAGAATACGCTCAGCCATATCATCACCAAAGTAGTTTCGTACCATGTCAGCATTCCAATTTCCGTGCTCGGTGAGCAGCCGGCTGACCCGAATTGATGCACTATTTGCTGGAATGTTGGAACAACTATTTTGAATTCTTGTAAATTACTGAGAGATCTCCAACTTCTAAAGAATATCATGCTCAATTTGAGGATTCATTTGGAAGTGCATGCAATTTTGAAGGCTTTTCATCCAGCTTTGCATTGTATGAAGCACCCTCCAACGAACAGGAAGAATTAACATCAATTTTTGGCTCAAGGTGGTTTTGAATTTTGATAGAAAAACCATTCATATTTAGATTGCTTTGAGCATCAATGACTTGGCTTCTAACTGAATGTTTAACACCACTCTTGAATTTATCAGGTTTAGTCATTGATCGAGATTCGTACCTTATACCTGATCTTGAGATCATGTTGCTAGAATGGATGATCTTGCTAGATCCAAATGATCTAACATCTTTTATTTTGATCGATCTCACATGAAGATCTAAATCTTCAAAGTTACCTACACCATTTTTCCTCTCCTCACAGCGAGAAGATTTGGTGTGAGGAGCCACCATCACTGAGATTCTCACCTTAAATTTTCTCTAATTAGAAACACAAAGCTTCTCTCACTATAAATGATAGCATTATCCTTGGGGATAAAACAAATATATATTTTTTATAGCATCAAAATGTGTGGCACACAATTGCTGGAGAAGGGCTGCTATTCTTGAAGAAAAGTAACCCATAATTTGTTTTTACATTAAATTAATGAGATATTTATGAATTGTATCCTATAACATTTCTATAGGTATTTCATTTGAAGAAAATACAAAATAAGATGCAACAAAATGTAAATATGGCATACAAATTTTTAGGCAATATTTATATATAATATTATGCCAAAATGTTGCTATAATGAAAATATGTATATATAATATTTTTATTATTTTTGTTATTTTTTCTTCTTAAAGTAATTTTTAAATTAAAAAAATTATGCTATATTTATTTTTTATGTTCACGTAATTTTTTTTAAAATTTATAGATTTCTTTGTATAATGCAAAGGCTCAATTTGAAATAATTTGATTTTTTAAATTATTAAATTACATCAATTAAATTTAATTATTTAAAAGATAAAGTAAAATATTTTAACATCTTTACATCATGATATTTAAAAAAAATATATTAAAAAGAAAAATCATTAATTAGTTTTATCAACCTACATTTAATAACATGTAATGTAATTAACCTAATGTCTACTAGTATTAGAACTTCTAATTTTTTAAAGACTGTTAAACTATATTTAATTTCTAGAATTATTTTAAAACTTTTTAACTTTCCCATATGTTAAGAGAGTTGCTATTTGCATGTTTTACATTCTTGTAACTTGATAGTTTTGATGATTTCAAATATTATTGTTTTATGTATAGTTATCTCCTAACACTTTTTAAAAGTTGTTTTTGCTCCTGTGTGTAATAACATTTCAAGAAAATCAAACTCCAGACTACAAAGACTTCAAATTAAATTTAGCATGAGATACTATGTGTATTTAAAACTTGTATTTTTCTTTAATTAAGATTGAGAGGGAGTGATTTTAATTGAGTTAACACACACTCACTTTAGGAGATCTTGAGAAATTTGTACTAATCGTACGGGACGAACATAGTTCGTACGAGACGATCAGATCAGTTATCTCCTCGTAAGAGCAATGGAACGAACAGGAGTTTAAGAAAATTTTTCTAAGTCCTGATCGTCCAGGACGAAGTGTATTTGTCCCAGGATGAAATGTTCTCCACTTTAGGAGATCTTGAGAAATTTGTACTAATCGTACGGGACGAACATAGTTCGTACGAGACGATCAGATCAGTTATCTCCTCGTAAGAGCAATGGAACGAACAGGAGTTTAAGAAAATTTTTCTAAGTCCTGATCGTCCAGGACGAAGTGTATTTGTCCCAGGATGAAATGTTCTCTGGAAAATTTTTGTTCAAAATGAAGTGTATTCGTTCCAGGATGAGTTGCTCTCTGGAGTACTATCATCCAGGACGAAGTGTATTCGTCCCGGGATGATTTACTCTCTGGAAAAATTTTGTCCGGACGAACCCATAATTCGTCCCAGGATGAAGTGAACCGACTCTGAAATTTTAGTGATGTTCTGCAATTTTTAGGAACCAACCTATGGAATATCCGTTCGTACCGGACGAACCTAGTTAGTACCGGATGATGTGTGTGTACGAAGTCATTTCATAACCATATACATTTGGTTCGTTTCCAACGCATTTAAGTAAAATCATCCAGAACGATCCACGATCGTACGGGACGATCCAATGCGTATCGACTTGAAAATTTGCAGTTTTTGGACGATTTTTCTTGTCTCTCCTATATAAAGTCCAAACTAAACTGCCACTTAATCTTTTTGTCCACTGATCTTCGTGCCTATTGAAAGAAGAGTCAAGGAGAGAGTGTAAGAGAGTGTTCGAAGGAGGATTCCTACTACTGGAGCGTGAAGGCTTCACTTGGTATTCAAAGGTAAGAATCT